TATTCAATTAATAAAAAGTTGCTTAATTCCAAACTATTTCATTTTGCGATAATATTGACATAAATTCTATTAACATGAAAAGGATGTCAGATGATGACATTAATGTTTGTAATATAAATGATTTAAATTGTAGTTAAAAAATAAATTAATAGGATAGTTAAAAAGAATTAAAAAAATACTGACCTTTGAATTGACCACCATAAATAGATTCGCCACCAGTGCCATTACCTAAAATTTACAATTTAAATAATTTTAGAGGACCTGTGAATAATAAGAGCAAAAGACCATGCTACTTTTATACTTTTTTTAAATGCAGATTTTAGTTAAAACAATATCAAAAATGTAACTAAAAATATGAAGAAAAATTATATTAATTTAATTAAATTACCAGAAACAAAATCTCCTCCTTGTATCATAAAATTTTTCACAACTCTGTGAAATGGAGCTCCTTTGTAATGGAGAGGTTTCTCTGTGTTCTTACCAACACCTTTCTCACCTATGGTAAACAAATAAAAAGAAAAATTCAGCCAAAGATACATACACAATTCTACAATAATTGAAATGACACTTTCAGTTTTTGGTCTCTTTTCATTAAAAAACAATTTCTCAAGAAATACATAGAGGATAGTTTTATAGCTAAGGAGGTGTTTAGCTCATGCAATTCCTCATACTTATCAATAAAGTTGAAACCTTTCAGAAATCTGAAGGACTGGCAATAAATTACAAATGAAAAAAGTATATTGAATGTATTATGTCAGAAAATAAAGCAATAAACTTGTAATTTGTATTTATTACTTCAATTATTATATGCAATAACTGCATAAAATTTCGTAAGTCTAGCATAAATATTTATGGTGAAAGACATTTTTATAAAAGAAAATATATATTTTTAAGTTCAACATAAGACATAACCAGGGTTCATATAGAGATCAGAAGAAGAAATCCAAGGAGTATCCAAGGAGTCCAAAAGTTTAAGGACTTATCAAAAATTTAAAAACTTTGTTTAAAAGAAAACTAGAAAAAATTTTTTTAATTAAAAAGCTATTATTATAAGGAACTTGCAAAAATTTAT